TATGTGTGTGTGTGTGTGTGTGTGTGTGTGTGACATACGTGTTGTTCTACCTTCTACTCTATCCTTATATATTTTTCAATCGCGGATGCCAAACGTCCAATTAGCTATGTAGAGGGTATGGTTACCACACCATGCTTGCTCTATACCACTCATAACTCACTCACCTACCATGTACCTTTCTATCCCACTGAAACTGGACACGTGCTTTGGTAGTCTTGTGTACAAACCATCGGCCGTCAAAGAGGGTCCCAACCCCATGTATCTGGAGGCGTATGGGGCGTATGAAGCCTGTTGTGAGGCTACGTTCTCGTCCCCGTTTGTGAGTCTGCTGGACCGCGGTAGGTATATACCAACCATTGTGTTGTTGTATGTATAGGAGATTAATTGGTTCTGGGTATAGGGATGCAATAGTATTTTTATGTCTCTACATACACATAGATATTTATATATTTATATACATACACATTCATAGATATATATATATATTGCTTTTATGGTTTTATGGTTTTACCTGTGCCGCCCACAATGCCTGCTTTTATATTTTTCATTCCCAATTAGCTTCAACTCGTCTCATATTCTCATTCGCTTTTTTTCATTTCTGGCATCCCCATCACTTCAGGAGTGATCTTCGCCATCGCGCACGTGAGAGGAGGTGGAGAAATGGGTAATGTAATTCAAACACGTAGTTACACATATGTGTGTCTGCGAGTCTCCGTTTGCATCTGTCCTATTGTTTGTACCCATATAGATGCGCCCGAGATATATACACTTTGTTACGACCAACGAATACTATATTACTGTATTGGGGTCAATTGGTACCAATTCATTGGGAAATTGTCGAATACATATCCTTGTACTGCCATGAGAACGGTCGACTTCCCTGCCCCAAACCCAAACTACAGATTGTCGTGGCGTTCTGTATAATATGTATTCTTCAAATCATATGACTACCGTTGTGGAATATTTTACATATTCTTCAAATCATAGGACTATCGTAGTAATATCTTTTATTTATTCTTCAAATCATAGGACTACCGTAGTAATATCTTTTATATTTTCTTCAAATCATATGACTACCATAGTAGAATCTTTTATATATCCAAATCAAGTAGGTCGTGTAGTCCCGAACAATTACTCAGCGACATTCGATAGTTATAGACAAGTCTCGTTACTGTGTTACAACTAATCTAACAGCGAGCTGTATGACGCTTCTTCGGGTTCGTGCTAAGTTACAGCACTAAAGATGGAAACACTCGCGTCACACAAATGGAACTTCTTCAGATAATGTACAAGTATTTTGTATTTGTATGTATATGTGTATGTATATTTACACGTATACGTATACGTATATGAATATATATATATATATATGAGTGTGTATATATATATATATGTATATATATATATATGTGTGTGTGTGTGTGTGTGTGTGTGTGTGTGTATCTATATACGTCGCTACGCTATGGATCACACACTGGCTCATATTTGAAATCGTGTATTCTCAATCGCTTGCAGGCCGTATGTGGTATGAAGACGGTAAGTTCCTCAAGAAACACAATACCTGGAGAGACTATCTGGCGTGCCTCAATCATCTCATAGACACCAAGGTCACCGCCAAAGGGGTGGTGGTGGCTGAGGGTTGCAGCGCTGGGGGGCTTCTGATTGGTGCGATGTTAAATGAGGTATGTGAGGGAGTCAGGAGAAGAGTAGAAAAGAGATTCCTGAGGAAATTGGAGGATGTTAGGCAAGCTTCCCACGCAATCCACTCGGTCCGTTGTGCCCGATTTTGCGCCCCTGTATTTGTTATGTTCTGAGTGGCATGGTTGGCTAATCTGGTACTCAAATTACACAATTGTGTATATAAACAGTGCATATACCTATGTTGGTACCATAGTCTCTCCCTTGTCGTTATATCTATATATATATCTATATCAATATCTATATCTATATCTATACATATTATTTATCTATACCTATACATATTAATATATATAATATATATATATATATATATATATATATAATATGTATATGTCTAGGGAATGCGTGTGTATTAGTATACCCATCCACTGACTCTCTGCATGCCTACCGTCCACTTGTGCAGGTTGACGAGGGAGTGCTGGCAGGATGCATCAGCCGCGTGGGGTTTGTGGACGTACTGACCACCATGTGCGACCCCACTATACCACTGACATGCACTGAATGGGAGGAGTGGGGCAACTGCTACGAAGACATTGAGTACTACAAGTACGTGGTGTGCAGCTATGTCGCTGTCTTACTGTGTGTGTACTATATGGAGTACTACAAGTACGTGGTGTGCAGCTATGTCGCTGTCTCACTGTGTGTCTACTGTACGGTCTTGCGCTGAGTGGGCGGAGTGGAGAAAGTGCTAAGTAGGAAGACATTACAAACGCCCTACACGTAGGTAGTTATAAGCATATGCCTCTCCATACATGAGGCTGGAGTGCTGGTAGCAGGTGCAAATACTCATAAACCTACCTCCGTTCTGCTGGACGGGGTTTGCATCTATTTAGCTCATGCAGGCACTCGTATGTATGATATGACTGCGTGTGTAGTCAAGTGTAGGTGTCGTATGTGTCTATGTACTGGTTGCTGCTCTCTTCCTAGTTTTTGCATCTATTTAGCTCATGCAAGCATTCGTATGTATGATATGACTGCGTGTGTAGTCAAGTGTAGGTGTGGTACGTGTCTATGTACTGGTGGCTGCTCTTATACCCGCCGAAATGTCCCTCGCACGCACCACCGCAGAAATGATCTACGAAACGAGATATGTTTTTCTGTGAGTGTTTTTTGTTTGTTTGCTTCTCACACAAGTCACAACTAACTGAGTGTCTATAGTGTTTTTGTACGCGTCTGGAGCTACTACGAACATGACATAACACAACGAAAGGCCTGTTTTAAGCCAACCTCCCCCCCCCCCCGACCGCTTATGACTACCGTCTCTCAGCCCCACCTGTTAACTACCGTCACATCTGTTGACTACCGTTACTAAACCCCATCTGAACCGTACTAAACGCTTCTGCAGATATATGAAGGGATACTCCCCATACGATAACATCGTGCAGGGCAAACAATACCCCCCGATCCTGTCGACTGCTGGACTCAATGACAACAGAGTGGGCTATTGGTGAGTCATAATTGTTGTGTGTTACCTATTTGTGTATGCAACTGAGACAACTTCAATGCGAATTAACAAACTCTGCCACAACATAAGATACGCCGTGAATAACCCCCATAGTTCACGTCATTTGGTATGTTTGATTATGGCTCGTGTTGTGGCCCATCTTTCGCCGATCAGGTTCGTTTACCAGAAACTAGCACAAATGAGATGCTCGTGATTCTTAACCTTCCGCTACGCAGTTCACAACAAGGGCGTCGAATTTGCTATGGATATCCAAAAGAAACTATTGTACACTCTCATATACTCTTCTCACCAGCACTGGCACTTGCAGTGACAGTCCCCTTGCAGATATCTTGGGGTAAGAAAGCATTGTATATTCACTTCTAGACTTACATGCCTACACTCGTACAGGGAACCTTGTAAGTGGGTGCAGCGTTTGCGTGATGCAGATAAGAACAAGGGCATCAACATCTTGTACAGATGTCTGATGGAATCCGGTCACTTTGCCAAATCTGGCCGTTTCCAAATGCTGGAGGAGAAGGCTCTGCTATTTGCGTTCGTGCTTGAATGCTTAAAAATTGCTTAGCTTCTCAAGGTTTAAGACAATGCCAATAAATTTGTATTAAATTCAAAATACTATGCCAATAAACCTGCATTAAATCTAGTTCACATGAGAGATTAGAGTGTACGATTCCTTTTGATGTCGGATGCTGTTAGACATTTAGTCTTCCTTGGCAGGTCTGTGACAAATGCCAGTGAAATTTAGGGATCAACACAGTTCGTGTTGTAGGCCTCGAATGAGTAAAACGTCGGTTTCTCCCCTCTTAACAAATGCCAATATATATTTTTATTAATGCAAGTATTTTAGTCGCCACACTGCAGCTGTGTTGGTTTGCATATGCTGTTGTGGTGTCCATCTATTTTTGTCATCAAGCCATGCAAGCAAACTGGTATCATTAAGTATTGCGAGCAAACTCGAATAGGATCCGGTTTTCGGGCTCATCCGCTAGAAATGAGTAGATAGATGCCCGCGATTCAGTTGTACTGATATTGGGAACCACATTTGATATCGTATTTACATGCTACGTATGAAACCATATGGTATCCGATACTGTGATTTATTCTCTACACCCCCATAATGGCAATGTGAACAGCTTCAGCCAATCTGGCAACGCATGATACATGTCACATGACATCCAGTGAGCCATAGAATGAAAGACCGACCTCCCACCCACCCACCCAACTATGCTACATGATGCTCAGGTACATAGAGCATATTGTATCGCTCTGTAATAGTCTTAATAAAATCAGAGTAGTGCCCCAATTCGGAGAATCGGTTTCAGTGAGATCTACCCCTACTAGCAGCAGGGCTTACCATATAAATTTGGCGAACTAGACAACACACAAAATTACAGGCTTCCACCTCGGGTCACTGATATCAGAATACTTATCGCGTCATAGTTAACTTTTTATTTATGACGTAACCGAGTATGGAAGAATTTCGCTATAACGGTACATTTTTATTGGTCACATACTATGATATTGAGAAGTGCTGTGAGGGAGACTACTGTAACGACGGTGTGCCGAAGTGCGACAAGGACACGTGCTGCGAAAGGAAGGTAGATCCCCCCGTCAAATGCAAGGATGCGTATGTAGACTGCAAGCATGGCTACAAGCTGATTGAGAATGAGAAGTGCTGCAACGGTGACTACTGCGAGGATTGCGTGCCCAAATGCGACAAGAAGACTTGCTGCAAAAAGAAAGAGGAGCCACCCATTAAATGCAAAGACTCAGACGTGCATTGTAAGTGTGGCTACAAACTGCCAAAGCATGAGAAGTGCTGTGACAGCAAATACTGCGAGGATGGAATGCCGAAATGTGACAAGCAGGTTTGCTGTGAGAAGAAGGTTGATCCCCCAGTCAAATGCAAGAACGCGTATGTAGACTGCAAGCATGGCTACGAGTTGATTAAGAACGATAAGTGTTGCAACGGCGACTACTGCGAGGATTGGGTGCCCAAATGCGACAAGAAGACATGTTGCGAGAAGAAATATGAACCACCTACCGAGTGCATTGAATCTTGTATTAAATGTCATCACAGCCACAAATTAAGGGCAAACAAGAAGTGTTGCGACAACGACTATTGCGGTACCCCCCTACACAAGTGTGATAAGAGGACATGTTGCGAGAAAAAGGTAAACAAGACCTACTAATGTTCTACTCACAGGTCTATCCAGAACATTGAATCAGGTCGCAACTTTCTTGTCTGTAGTCAAATTACAATTTACTTTTTTCTACAAATACTTCAAATTCAATAGGTTTGAATGAATTTTTTTATCCATATCGAAACTCAGTCTTGTTAGCTGATGGCCGATACATACTAGTGGGCTTTATCCTCAAGGTCGCGATTTGGTGCGCAGTTCATACAAGTTACGGTGTACAACAGTGGATGACAATATTAACGTAATGCCTTTCACTATTCATAATTGACTATCCTTTTGGCTTGACTAGTACACTATAAGCAAATCTTTCATGAGTGTGTGACTTGCCGGGGCCAGAATGAACATTTACTTTTGACTGAATTCTTAGCTTGATATTATACTTACCTGTAGCTAGTTCCAAATGCACGTTGGCGGTGCCGATCTTTATATTGCAATCACACTGAATCAAATATAGCCGCAACATCATGTCTACAGTTTTGATTAGTAAATGTACGTCGGGCTGAATAAATATCTGATTTAATAGGCCTTTTAATATTGTTTGCGTCACGGAGTGAACTCAAAAAAGCTCAGACACAGGTACGGTTTGTGCGATATTCTGTGCAGAATCTTTCATATAAAGAAGATTTAGATGTATGCGGGTTTACCTTAGTGTTTTGCTTTCTTCGAAATGCACAGTTGTTGGACGTTAGCACGAATCACATTCATCCTTCAGATGTGTATACTCAGTAGAATAAAATAACACTGCTCCTTATGTATATTACAAAGATTACTACTATGAAAGGATCCAAGCTTCCGCCAAGGAGTGTCGACAAGCATGCGAGCGCCAGGGTTGGTGCACCGGCTATGAAACTGACAAGAATAAGCACTGTGAGCTGTGGGAGAATGACACTGGTACTAATTTCGAGCGCAAAGACGGCTTATCGTGCTATGTTAAAGAGGTAGTCGAGCCTGAATATGACTTCGAAGCGGAAAGGGGGTACGGATGTTGGGGACTTCAAGGACAGCATGATAACAAACTCTGAGCTGAAATCGGTGCGACCAGTACGATTGGTGCACTGGATACGAAACCGGGAAAAGCAATCACTGTGAGCTATGGAAGGAGACTATCGGTGACCACCTCAAGAAGACAAGAGGTTTAACGTGCTACATCAAAGATACAGACTCAAATGTTCATCTGTGCGAGGCTGAAAAGGTCAGATCCATAGCTGGTTCCAAAGCTATCGACATTACTTTCGAAAACCAATTGAAGAGACCTGTTCATGTCTCCTGGATCGATTGTGAATATGCAGCGGTTGACTACAACACCCTGAGCTTTCGTGACTCATACACTCAATCGACATACGAATCCCACCCTTGGTTGTTGTCCGACAATAAAGGCCCTATCGTACTAGAAGATTTCATCGTGGGTCACAACTCATGCGCAGATAACAACAGGCGGTCAAGATCTGGTGATCAAAAATCCAAGTTCTCCGTTTACAACACAGGGTCACATACTATGAAGCTTTACTGGTTGAACTACGATGGTGAAAGCACTCACTACGGAAGCATAGCTTCTAAGGCGACCTTCAATATGAATACGTATGCCACCCACCCGTGGTACATTACTACCAAAGGAAAGACTGTTGTTCAGTGGACTGCAACTGCTTCCAATCTACAACAAATAACTGATGGCCAAGGAGAGTACAAAGTTGTTATTCAATAAATATTCACATTTCATTTATAGGAAGTATTGGGGTTATTTTGATTCTATCCAACCATTGGAACTATATGAAGGAGGCAGACTTAAATTAATAGCAACCATAATAAAAACATTGGGATAGGCTACGAGCTGATTAAGAACGAAAAATGCTGCAGCGGTGACTACTGCGAGGATTGGGTGCCCAAATGTGACAAGAAGACATGTTGCGAGAAGAAATATGAACCACCTACCGAGTGCGTTGAATCTGGTATTAAATGTCATCACAGCCACAAATTAAGGGCAAACAAGAAGTGTTGCGACAACGACTATTGCGGTACCCCCCTACACAAGTGTGATAAGAGGACATGTTGCGAGAAGAAGGTAAACAAGACGTACTAATGTTCTACTCACAACAGGCCTCGTAAACCACATCATCAGTTTGATACAAAATAAACTACTAACTATTTGCTTCTACTTTAGTTTCTTATTTTTTAAAATAGGACTGCATGCTG